TTTAGAGTGTTGTCATTAATTACCCTCAGCAACTGTCGACCTCTTGGTGTGGCCAAGCGTGAACCCCACTCTTGATGCTTGGCATTATAGTCTCCTCCAGCGATGAACCTAGTCCCTAGAGTAGTAAAAAATCTGTCAAAATGTTCATAAGCTATAACATGTCTTGGAGGGCAGTAAATTGCAGAAAGAGTAAGAGGTCCTTGCATGTCTTCGAGAACAATGCTTGAAGCTTGCAGGTACTGTTCCCTAAAACCTGGAATTTCATGATGTTTTATGCAGTTTTTAACCAATATGGCACTACCTCCGTGAGCTGTATTGTCAGGGTGGTTTGTAGAGTATAAGGTATAATTTGGAATTTTAAAATAGCTTCTATCTGTAAAATGAGTCTCAGAAATAAGTAAAACATCTATTTTATGATTATTAATAAACAATTGAACTTCTTGACCATGCTGAGCCAAGCCATTAGCGTTCCAAAGAGCAATTTTGAGAACAATATTCATTTTAAGCGAGAAATGACTGTTGTTAACAGATTAAGAAGTGTATTAATCTGTTCTGCTTGCTTCGATAGCATACTTTCGAAGCGAGCAAACGAATCTTGGATTATGAATGACAAACCTGCTTCTAATCTTAATCTAATCTAAAGTTATAATCAGTGTGCGTCTTTGCGAATCGGCTGCAAATCTCACTTCAACGCTTTTCACATCGTAAAAATTGCAGAATTGCTGTTTTATTGTAAAATTATCGGATTTAAAATGCATATTGTATAGGCCTATGATGGAATAAAAACATACTTGGTCACACAACATTTGTTTACAAGATGATTTTTCACATTAAAACTGCAAGAAACTTTGTCTTTATATGTGTAAACTAGCTGATCTGAATTGTACACGGTTTTAACTGACTACTGAATTCCCGTACGTAGGACGGGCTAACACCTCGTCTGTTTCTAATTTTCAAATTATTAATTAAACCGGGCCAAACCTAAAGCAATGCGATTCATTTGTAATACATTTAGAAATTATTCTATTTTTAACAAATGTGTTGCTTAACAATTACCATAGGGTGTAAGGTAAGTTTACTGATGTTGATAAGTATAACTACCATTTAATGCAACAGAAAAAATGTATACTTTACGCATTATCGTTGGTTATGAATTAAGTATTAAAGAATCATTTTTTAAAGTCAATCTTTGCTCGCATTATTTAGTTGTCTTAGAAGTTCATACACATCTAAATCTACTGATTGATATTCCACCATAGCGTCTGCAATTTTCTTCTGTGGAAAAGCTGTTGTCCAAGCGACAATAATAATGAACGAGCGGCCGACCCTCAGAACAATGGACTGAGGAGGACGGGCAGCAGGTAGGCTGCCGAGCAGCCCAGCCCTACTAGGGGTAGCGTTTCAGGGGGGGACGATTCCGGGGTGTACATAGGGGATGCCTTGCCGGGGAAGACCTTTCCGTTTCTACTTGTTTGAATTTAAATTAATAACATAATTAGTTCATATCAACTAGATTTTGATAAATTACTTGTCAAGCCCTTGGGGGGGAACGATTCCGGTCGCGGACATAGATTTTATACCAGCTGGTTGTCTGGTTTCGTGACGTCACGTTTAGCCTGGGGGGGTGATGTTTCCGGGGGCGACCATTCCGGCGACCCGATATAACATCTGTTAGCTAAAGGGGAGTGTATATAAAACACTCCATTAGTAGATTTCTCATCCTTATGGAACAGCTGAAGTCAATATTTTATTGTTAAGCCTGTCCGGTGCACTGTAGAGGTTGTGTTTTGTTTACAATTTGTTTTGTGTTATTTCAGTCATTTAAAACCTCGTTTAACCAAATAAAACGATCTAATCATAAACAATAACTGGTCTCATAAACAATCTCTGGTTACCTACTAATTTGAAGCTGAAACTATTTATATTAATCGTGAACATGGCTCAGTCTTTATTTGCGCAGTTTGGGGTAATTAACTTTTGGAATTAGGTAGGTCTAATTGAATTTAGGATATAGATGTATATAGAATAATAAATAATAGTAATAATACAGTAATAAATACGGACTCGGACGGGTAGCGTCGTCCTGTAATCCAGCTACTAGGAGGTCACAAATTGTGGATATTTATAGGCATGCACTGTGGATGCGATATTCCCTGGTGTGGATTAAGGTCCGCACAAGTGAGTACTACGACTATCCGCAGTACTATCCTGATAATTAGACCAATTCGTATATACCAAAGCAAAAATGTGGTTTGGATTCCACTATAAACTGTAGGTCCCTAGTTGCCACTAGCTGTATGGGCTATTAATTAACAGCCGTGTCTAAGGAATGTTGGCCTTTAGTCACTAACAAGATTACAAGATCGCGCCACTCATCTTCATTCATACTTGGCTTAAAATACCTACTTTGTATGGTCGCCATTTCCAAAAGTATTAAAGTATTACATTGAACAAAATTTGGTTCCATATTCTGGAGAGGGGGGCCTGGGGGATATTCCATACCTTAGTCACCAACAAGACTACAAGATCGCCCCACTCATATTTGGGTTAAAATTTGCACCTAGTGGCGTCCCCATCTTAAATAATTGATATACCCCCCAGCAAAGGATAGTGGTCTGGGGGTTCCCTCGCAAAAAAAATTTTGAAAATGACGTGCTTAAATGAGTGATTTTTTAGCTATTTTGAGACATACAAAATTAAATTGACCCAGGTTAATGTGTCTGAGCTTTTCAGTTTATTTCAAGGTTCGACATTAAAAAATAAGCTTGAATAATGTGAAGTTTTTTTCATTATTGAGACTTGTGGAATTGAAACAATTGTTAAATAAAAGCAGGGTGGAAATTTTTTAATATTTACTTGACTGAATTTATCTTCATATGTTCTCTTCAGAGGTAATCTCAACGTCTAATTTTACACTAAGTAGGGTAGGCCACAACTCCTAATTTTTGCAGTTACCTAAACTAAAATTGATTTTAACATCTACGAGCGATTTAATTCACAGAAAAACACTAGACCTTTCTACAGAGCTCCACTCCGCTCCTCAACTTGCGCATGCGCATAGACTTAGAGAGAATTCTATTGGCTATCATGGCGTGACGTCACTCTCTTCTCATAAAGAACCGCCATCACCGCAACGATACATCGGTTGTTGTAGACAATGCAATGATATCGGTGTTCATGGTGTAGTGGATAGAGTACTCGGCTTGTGTTCAAGAGGTAACCAGATCAAATCCCTTCGGTGACACTAACTTTTTGTCAAAGATTTTGCTTAGAATGTGATTACTTCTTAACTGTACATATTTTGTTAAAATTTGAAGCATTTATAATTTTATTTTATGTACAGAACTATTTTTTGATTAGTAAACCTTCATTAGATTTTTTCATTACCAGCAAGTTTAGTTAGGTTAAGTTATTGCAGTTAAATTTTATAAAGAAAAAACATAAAATTAATTTTATAATAAAAAATTATAAAATTAATTTTATAATAAAAAAATTATAAAATTAGTTTTATAATTAAAAAATTATAAAATTTATTTTATAATAAAAAATTTTTTAATTTATTTTTTTAACTCTCATTTCGTCTGTGAATATAAAAAAATTGCGGCTGAAATAAAACTTAGACTTAGAACTTGGACTTAGACTCCGCTGAGTTTCAGCATTTCGTTGGAGCGTGTTTTTACATAGGTTCAAATGGAACTCTTTTATGCAACTACGTTTTCCGTCGGGCGGAATGTAGTGCTGCCAACCTACTCCACGCTCTGTCATCCACAGTATTGAAATCGCCTAATCATTGTAAATAGATCATCATTATTCATTGAAATTAATTGAAGAGTACTAATAAAGAATTGGGGAAACAATTAGTGAAGTGACGAGTCGAGTATTTTCTTGACTCGAGTCAAACTCGACTCACGACTATGTCAACTCGAGTTGCAACTTGAGTCAGACTCAACTCGGTATCATCGTGAAACTTCGGCTTCCATCGGTCGAGTTCGGGTCGACTCGCAGCGCAGCCAATAGTGTTATAGTTCGGCGAGTCGGCTCAACTCGCATTCAGCCAATAGTGTTTACGTTTCGCGAGTCAACCGAGTCAACTCGTTACGTCCTGAGTTCGTGTAGCTTCGGCAATCTCCGTACGAGTTCGTACCAACTCCAGTTGTGAAAGAGATGACTCAAGTTGACTCGACTCAGGTCTTGACCCGAGTCAACTCGTTACGTCCCGAGTTCGTAAAGCTTTGGCTTTCTCCGTATGAGTTCGGTTTCTTGACTCGCTTTGAGGCTGTAAGCCAATAGCGTTTAAGTTTTGCGAGTCGGACTCGTTACGTTCCGAGTTCGTGTAGCTTCGGCAATCTCCGTACGAGTTCGTACCAACTCCAGTTGTGAAAGACATGACTCAAGTTGACTCGACTCGGGTCTTGACTCGAGTCAACTCGACTCGCCAACTCAACTCGTCACATCACTAGAAAAATTTACTGCGAGAGAATTACATTTCTGTTTAAATCCGCGGAATGATACAAACTTACTGTTTCGTAGGAATAATACGACTTTATTCCCGGGAACGACATGGGAATTTTTGTATCAAAGGTATACCCGGGATTGATATGGGAATTGTTGTACAAAAGGCAATCACACCATCTCATTGGCAACCCTGCAGTACTGCCAACACTGTCATTGCTGCCAACCCTCAGACTTTCATTCTTCGGGTGTACACTGTACAGCCCACCTCCATTGCCGTTGTCTATTTTTCTTTACGCACTAATAGGTATAAACCAATAAACCTTAAGGATCCATCTTGGGTCACTGACGATGGAAAAATGAACAAAGTTCGCAGCAATGACCACCCCCACCACGGACATCATAAAAAACTAGCATTCCGCTCGGCTGAGAAACTGCATAAAAGGGACATCGATTCCGCCCGACGATTCCGCCCGACCGAAAATGTCGTGCATAAAAGAGGCCTTAAATCTAACTGGATGGTGAACAATGTCAGATAAATCACCATATGCTTTCCAATATATATATTTTAGTAAAATATTTTTTCCAATTTATACACATTTTCTATTACATACGATCAAAAGGAAATACTAGTAGTAGAAAGTAATATTTAAAGCAATATAAAATTAAATTAATTTAACATTTTCTGGTAACGAAGTATCACATTGGCTTGTGTGAATTTACTTGATTATTTTAGTCTCATCAACACGATAAAAACACACTTTTTTATGACAGCCTCTTTACCACTTATCTAATAAATTTACTGAAATTTCTTTAAGACATACTATTAAAGACCCCAACATATCACAAGAAACAATGTTACATGCTTTGTCAAGGCTTTTGTAGCTAGGCTACAAAAGAAGCAAATTTGGCTTTAAAACAAATTATCTCTCTGTAGGTGTGTATCGTAGCATAATCATATTTTATGTTCTGTTAACAATGTACATTACAGTACAATAGCGAAAAAATGTTAAACTTAAAAAATGCATATTTATTTAATTCTAGAAACTAAGCAACATTAGGCCAATAGCAATAATTAATTGAGAAACCTAATAGACATTTTCTGTTCTACATCAGTCCTTTCCAAAGCTTTGCAAAACTCTTCAAATGAAATCATCTGGTCACCACTTTGGTCTGCCTCCAGAATTGTTCGCTCGGCTATTGATGTCAGCTGTTCCTCACTAAAACATTCAAATAAGTCTTTTCATCATCATGCAGCGAAAACGTCTGTTTTCAATACATGCGTTACAGGTCTAAGCTATAGTGACCTACCATAGCTCTTTCCCTTTCTAAGAAAAAAAAATGCTGAATATGCTTAACTATAAGTTACTCCATTGATTTTGCTGAGGAAAATAATTTGATTGATAAAAGTATTATCATTTTGTTACTTAGGTTGCATTGAGTAGGCTACATCATTAAGACCATTTACTGTATTGTGTTGCGGAGTAATAAAGGTTGCATCTGACTAATGGTAAGATCTGTAAAGATATAACGGTAAAGGCATGTTCATAATTTGCGTCTTGTGAATGAGTTAGCCAAAATGAAGCAGTATAGTGCAATATAAAGTTTATACATGAGCCTAATTGTAGGTCTATATTTTTTAAACGCTATCTCATTTTCAGACTTATGAGGTTATACTCAAAAGTAACTTTAGACCCTTATGATGAAATCTACTATTTTGCACTATATCGTATTTCTATCTTCTTCTTGATTCTTGATTCTTAATAACACATCTGGCAAAACCACTGAGTGGTGTTTTGTAATAGAAGGAAAATTATAGTGGAATAGAATACAATACAGAATAGGACCGAAACCAGTTCGAGTCGGGTGGGGCGGGGCATGCGGCATCCAATCAGCTTTTAGAAAACTGTCCACTGTTGCCAAGTTGTGCCACGCACTCAGTCTCTGCCCGATATCCGACCTGTGCGTTTCTAGTATACCCTCCTGTTTTGCCAAGAATTTGTCTATGAACTGTGTTTCGCCCAATGAATACGGAGAACAGTACGCGACGTGGACGACCACGAGTACACGTGAAACGTTTGCGATATTGTAACGTCGGACGTGGTGTTCCTTTACGTTCCTTTACATAATGCAAATATCTTGATAGGCCTATATAAAAATGTCATTGTCCCTTAAAAATTTTATTTAAGTTTTCATACTTCAATATTTTATTTTCTAAATATTTTATGTAACAATTTCCAGTGCAATGTAATAATATTTTCTGATAAAAATAGTTATGTCATTTTGGCAATAAATTGGCAGTTATGTTATCTATTTCCCTTTTTACCTGGTATGTTTTTTGAGGATTTCTAGAGTACCTACATTAGAAGTTTTTTTTTTGTTATAGAAGAGTGAATTTTTGTCAAGTTCAAGATAATTTAATGGAACATAATACCATGGAAAAGGAATTAGACAGCAAGTTATAGGCAGCATGTCTTGTTGGCTAGTTCAGTTCCTTCTACTCTCTCCGCATTAAGCAACTTTATTTGTTTCTGAAGTGGCACAAATAAACTCAAGGGGCTTCTCTTCCGCCTCAATTTCTAACATCATATTGGCTTCAACAATAGCTTGGCACATGAACAGTGGTTACATCTACTCTACTGTTTAACTATTTTTACTCATGTAGCTATTAGTCTAGGGCTTAGAAAAAACAATTACCTGATATTGGCTCCAACCATCATATGTAGGATTGCTAAGAGCTCATCCCTAGAGATCATTTCATCATTGTCCAGGTCGTACATCTTGAAAGCAACTAAAAACAATTAAACCTTGGTTATGTTTCTCTAAGTTAAGGATAGTAGGTACCTAAGTTTTTGTGTATAATTTGGATTTGAAATCAATTTAACCACAGTTATTCAGAAAACTATTATAGACATCATGTATGGCAGTGGCGTAGATACGGGGGGGGGGGGGGATCAGGGGGATATATCCCCCCCTTCAACCTATAATGGGTAAAAAATTGTAATAACATTAAAAAAAAAAATAATGTTTTAACGTATGCAATGAAATAGTGAATCTTTTTAATTTTACTTCTATTGTATTAAGCTTGTTTTTCGTAAGTATACTTTCAATATCAATAAATCGTAAATAAACTGCAATGCCAGTGAAAGTAGTATGGTTTTTGCGCGCGAAACAGAGTACAGACACAAGTCACGGAAGGTCAACAGCCTATCCGCCCCTCCCCCTTCCACCACCACTTCACCTTTTACACCTACCTGAAATAAATCGTTTTAACGTGAGCAATAAAATAGTTAATCAAATGTCATGCCTATTGTACTAAGCTTGTTTGTTTGTACGTATACTTTCAATATCGATGAATAAATGGAAACAGATAAACTACATTCCGGTAGCCGGTGGGGTGGGATATTTGCGCGCCAAACAGACGTGAGTCACCGGACGTTCCGCGTTCAACCCAGTTCAACCGCCCATCGACACCCTCCCCCTCTACCTCAACCCCGTCACCCACACTACGCTTGATCTGTCGTCTGGTGTTAATTATTGTGCCAGTGTGTTTTTATGATTTTCGTATTCCGTGGTGTCTCATGAGTGTTCTGAGTGTCTGTGAAGTAAACTGATCGGGGTTTTCGCCCCGAGAAGAAAAGTTCGATGGCGTTAGCTGGTGTGGCAATGGAACAACGAAGTTAAGTGATTTTATTACTCGCCTTTGAAATCATTTTTTTGAAATAGGCCAAGTCACGTTATAGTATATTACGTTACTAGCCCTGAAAATAAGTGTTTACCGGACGAGTGTGGTCGTTCCCGTGCGAGACGAGGTCGAGTACGGGATTATTATACGAGTCCGGTATACAAATTTTGGACGAGTTACGTTATATTGTTTTAAAATTATAAAATTAATTTTTAATTTTTAAAATTAAACTGTCATAACATAACCTAACCAACCAGACTTGCTGATAATATAAAAACTAAATAAGATAAAAATCTAATTAATGATTACTTATAATTTTTTAATTAATTATAAAATTAATTTTAAAATTTAGTATTATAAAATTAAACTATCATAACCTAACCTAACCAACCAAACTTGCTGATTAGAAAAATGTGTTGACAAAAAGTTAGTGCTGCCAGCGGGATTTGAACCCGGGACCTCCTGAACACCAATCCGAAGCGCTACCAACTATGCCACGAACGCCGCTGAAATCACCTCGTTTCGTTACGGTAATCGTGTCGCCTCAAGAGAAGACATTAGCCACTAGAGATATGACGTCACTACACCTTTAGCCTTAGTCCCTCCCGTGTGCCCATTCCATATGACCACCAACTAAAGGACTAAAAATCACTAGTCGTAATCTCTAAGAGAGGTTATGTTTTTGTTTATAAACACTCATTGCCACGCAAATACAGTGTATAATCAGCTGATTGGTGACCGGTAAAACTCATTACAGTACAGTCGTACGCAATGAAACCCCATTTGATTAAGCTGGCGGCAAACAGCTGTTTTCTGGACTAAATCCTTGCGTGGGAAGTTCATCAAAATAGTGTTGTGTGGCGTAAACATATTAATAAAAATATTCAGTGTTAAAGGATAGAGAAACATAACGTTAAATGTTATCATATAACGAAAAGCCTAGCCTAAGTACTTTAAAAATAAATGTAATAAAAAAACTAGTCCACCTGCAATTAAAGCAAAAAGTTGCAACAAAATAGCATAAAATGTATAAAGTAGCCTATTAACACCAAATTTCACTTCCTAAACGCTTAAAAATAGTGTTTAGGGAAGTTATTTTTCTCTAATTTTCCGGGGGAGGACCCCCGGACCCCCCTTGCTTGCTGCAGACCCCCCGGTATCCCCCCCCCCATTACAAGAGTCTATCTACGCCACTGATGTATGGTATCCTGGTTGTTTCTTTAACGAGCTAAAGTGAAAAAGATTCAGTTAAGCCAAATAAACAGATCTAGTGTCTATTTTGTTAGTCTTTCCACTCTGTTCGAATGGTATCCTAAATGGTTTTCATAAATAAATATATTTTGCTTCTAGTAAGCCACGTTTACACTGAAGTGTACGACAACATGATTAGGCTAAGACTTTTCTTGATATCAGCTGTTGTAAAAATTGTTTCATGTCGTAAACACTGGCGTAAACATGTTTTTTGACCATGTGCTATCAACAAAATAAATGTTAACCTCGAATGTTGACAATACTCTTTGATCTGTTGTCGACATCTTTTTGTACACAAAATTCCTGTTATAAACACTAAAATACCCCCGCCATAGCAAACCGGCAGACTAAGCGCTTTTCCAAACTTGCCTGATTTGATTTTCAATTAAATCTATATCAATAAAAGTTTAATGAGTACCTTGAGTTGCTGCTACAGGAAGGGTAATAAAGTGTGTTTTTTAAATAAAATATTCATAGGTTAGTATAAAATAAATAAGTTTGCCAAGTTTGATAAAAATATATCCATAAACAAGCAAACTACAACAGGATATATTTTTGGTACGGTAATAACAAAATATATCCTTATGTAATTACTTATCCTCCATAAGAATATCATAGGAATTTTAAATAAAACAATTTTTAAATTTCCTTTGTAATACCTAATAATTGCTTACAAAAACACTTCACTGTACCAAATTATTTGTTTTTTTTAAGCTCTTCAAAATGGTTTAGAGAGAAATTTGAAAATGTTATGTTATGAGTGTCAAAAATTATAAAAATCAAATTTACACCATTAATCCCCCCATAAAACCCTGTGCCCATGATCCAATCACGCTGGTTTGCGAACTCGTTTAAAATAAACATAGGTTTACAAGTTTGTACCAAACTTAATTTAAATTGGATGATTTTTGTTCAGATTATTATGCTAACGGACATATATACAGTGTGATTGAAAGTTCTGGAACGGTGTACCTAATATATTTTGTACTGCTATGGATAAAGTAATGAGACTTGGTATATCAATAATTAATAACAATAAATGTATACTCTTTTAAAAGCTATTGTCACTTTTTTATCATTTAAGGAGGTCCTTAAATCAGCCATTTTGAATCTTTGAATGGCTGCCATTTTTTACTCAGTTATGTGCAAACTATGCTTACGTTTATAATCTTCTTCCGACTTCTAAGTATTAGAGAGACCTTTGCACTGGTTTTAGTCGTGTCCACGGTCGCCAATAATGGATATATCAAAACTAAATCGTAGTAGAGGAGTCATCAGAAGAGCATTCACTAAAACAAGGACTGAACTTGAAGGTATGATTAGTAGTGAAGATCGGGATTTAACTAAGATTGAAGCTTTAATGGATGTTTTAGCTACTCAATATGAATCCATAGCGAAACATGACTCAGAAGTGTTTGAACTCATGTTGTCAACTGAAGTAAACGACAATGACGGACAAGGAGATAGGCTGAGACTAGCTGAGTCTCAGCCTAGCCACTTCATAGTAAGGGCGAAACGTCTGGCAGTGAAATACAGCTGACGACGCGGTTGACGCCAAAAACCATCACCATGGATTTCAATGCTACTGCTTTTGTTGACATTCTGCAGTCGACTCGGCCAGCTAACCAAAAGTGGTTAGCGGCCAAACTAGTACAATGTACTGTGTGATTTTTATTTTCTAGGTTATTGCAGATCATTTGTAAGTTAAAATAATACATATAATCAATAGTTTAAAGTACTGTATTAGTTTAAAGAAATCACATATTATGATATTAGGGTGTATTACTTTACTTTCAACAGAAACATTCCTAAAACGTAATTATTGCTTTCCGGATGGAAATAAAAATTGGCATGTATTTATTTAGGCCTAAAACAACCTCGAATAACCTGGGGGCTTGGATAATCGAGAGTGTACTGTATATCAAAATGATTTTTGCACCATAATATTGGAAATGTCATCCCTATTGCAGTGGTAGCACCCGTTTCCTTGTAGGCAAAACATATATCCCTTGTTATAATTTGTCAATACATACCGTGTTTGGCAGTTTTGTGACGCATACATAGTGCAACTGACTTTGCTCAAAATTTTTGTAAACTTTCATGCTTAATTACAGTAATCCCTTTGTGAAATAAAGTTTATCTAAGTAACAAAATGCAAGTTTATAATCTAATCTTTAAAATAGTATAAAAATTATTCCATTTTACAGTAGTTTTTAACAATTTATTTGAAGTTAATCAAAAACTTACAAAACGCAAAAATTATTTTAGTCGCCACCACTACAGAAACCACCTATCATAGTTAAAAATCGCAAAAATTACAACTCATGTACTCAATACTTGAATCTACTTCCTGAACTGTTCCAAATGGCTGTACTGTTTTTTTTTTCCAAATGGCTGCCAGTTGGAGGGTTAAAAACATTAAGCAGCCTATAAATTAGGTAGCCTAATATTAGGTCTCAATTAAAATAAAAAAGACTTACAGCGAAGTTTTTGTTCCCTTGAATTCAGTTTGTTGTCTTTAGACTTTTTGATTGGTCGAAATCTTGCCAAAACTTGCATGAACTGTCTGAAGTTGACCCTGTCATTGCCAGAGTCTCCGAAGAAAGCATGAACGATTCGATCTCCCAAGGGATTGATAGCAAGCTCTGGAATACGGAGGAAATCCTCTCTGCTCAGTGTTCCACAATCTCCTCGATCCAGACTTGTAAACCGAGAATACAGACGTTCTATCTGGTTAGGTGTAACTGCAAACAAGAAATATTTAAACATACCAAGACCAGTTTGTTTAAATAATTCATTTGAGGATACATTGTTCTTTTACTTAATTCGAAATTACACTCTAGACACAAATTTTTAATCATACAGTATCTGGAAGTTTCATAAAATCAATAAAACGTAGTATTTACTAAGTGATCATAGACGAGAGATCGCGATAGAGTGATGCGGTGTACGACGGGTGAGAGGGTAGAGAGCGGGGTGTACCACACACTCGCGCCGATACTGTGCTGTGATTAACCCTCTATCCTTGCTTAATTAACAGTCTTCCCGGAAACATGCTCTTGCCTGCTTCAGAACTAGTTTGGTCCGCATGATCTATTCGCGATACAACATGCTAAACGCGAATAATTGGAATATTACTTGTACCAAACTAATAGTATTTGACAAAATATGACATATAATAGTATTGTATTATAGTTATAGTAGTTTTAGCAAATTTCCCTATAGGGAAGTAGGTATTACCGTAGGTTTTGATGCCCCCAGAGGCCAAAAACACCATTCGTTCAAATTGTTATATGTATATATAGGCCTATACGTCTGTGAACGCAATAACTTGAGTAATTTTTGTCCGATTTTAATGAAATTTGGCTTAAAGGTGTAAGGCGATAAACTTGAATGAGTTCGCGAACTAGAATGATTGGACCAGGTGAACGGGGTTTTACAGGGGGTTTTATGGGCTAAAATATGGTTTTTCTCATTTTTGACCCTCAAAACACATTTCCCAATTTCTCTCAAGACCTTTTTAAAGAGCTTAAAAGATCAATTTATTTAGTATATTTGAGTGTTTTTGTACGATTATTGGTACGGTAACAGAAAAAAATTAAAAAATTGTAAATTTAAAATTTCCATTTATTCTTATGGAGAATTGTAAAATATTGTAGTTTGCTTGTTTGTTTATAGATATATTTTGATCAAACTTCGCAAATTTATTTATTTTATACTAAGCTATGAATATTTTACCAAAACATACACATTAACTAATTAGTTTCCTTGTAGGTACTTGTTAAACCTAATGCAATTTGAATAGATTTAATTGAAAATCAATTTACACAAATGGAAATCCGCTTAGTCAGCAGGTTTGCTGCGGCGGGGATATTATACTCATAAATATGGAAGATCTAGTCCCTCCAGCTCAACTTGTTCTCCACCAAGACAACGAGGTATTTCATATTTACATAAGTTAGATAATTTCGGGCATCACTCACCTTTTTGAAAACACGAGAACTCAGAACTGAAATGTTTTGAAACCTCGGAACTGAGAATTTAAGTCTATTATTTTATTTGTATTTTAAATGTGTGTTTGTGTTTTCATGTAGCCTAATATGAACTGTGGTAACAAAGAACTGAGATCTCGTATTTTCAAAAAGGTGAGCGACGCCAGAAATTATCTATGCAAATGAATTGATACCTTCATCTAAAAGACCATGTCATTTAAGATAAAGAGAGCTAAAAACTCTAGGCCTAGTGAAGGGTAGGTTATTTGTCAACATTCTGAAGAAAGAGAATTTAAATTATAACTTTGAAATTTATTTGGAAATAACCTAACTTATAATCAATATTATTGAGAGAGTTTTTTGACTATTAGGTAAGCTTCAAGTGGACTGATGCTTCTGGCTGGGTGTCATTATGTAGCCTAACTGATTTGGCAAAAACAAGCACACAGAAACCTGCCATAAAATCCTTTAACATTCCTTTGGTATGATAAGCAATCAAGTAACAACTAAATTTTCCTTTTTTTTGCTGCCATATTCAGTAAAATGTAAGTAACTTAGGCTTAAAAGGAGTAGGTTTACCAACATTCTCATAAAGCATTCTGAGCCTGAGCTAGTGTAATCAGGAAGTATGACTTCTTGACCTTAGCCTAGATTTTTAAAGTTGTTACTTTAAGTACTAGTACTGATCGTGGCCTACTACAGCACATGCAGGTTTTTTTATTGCAATTAAAAATGGCATATATTTATTTATTGACATTGACAAGGTGGTAAAGGAAAGACTAAGGCTTAAGTTTTAGTACCACAACAAGTAAAGTAAACAAGTTAACGTCTTGAACTTACATCCAGTTTCTTCTTGAATTTGAGCGATTTCTTCTTCTCGTAAGAGGAGAGAGCTCCTATTTCCCATTGTTACAACAAAATAGTAATCTTAACTATTTATCAAAGGTTAAGGTATGAACTACAACGTTAGAATTAACTGTTTAAAGATTAAAACAATAAGTTGGGAAATGTGAACAACAAGCAGACAACTTACTGGTGACACAGACAAGGGAATATAAATGACAACCGAACCGACGCGACGAAACTGACACTGACAGCAAAGAAATCCAGTGTGTCCAACACAAACTCAAAGAAACAATAAATTTCTTAAGTTTTTCATACGCCATCAGCATTAGGCGTTATATTCTATTTCAACAGTCATGGCCAGCTAGCTGGTAAACATTAAACATGGATTTCTAACGACACGGCCACCTTTTACTAATGTCTGATCGTGTAATATCGGCAGTGGGTAGGGGCACGAATACTTGAAATAGGGGCACATCCAGCATTTGTTACGAGTACATTGGGACCGAGCCAGGGCTCGGTATAGTTTATTTCTATTGTACCCCTATATCGAGTATAATCTCCAGTGTAACCTTTGCCACGGCCAACTTTAACTACAGGACACGGCCTTGTAGAAATGGCAACGTCGCAAGTGGTGTTGTTTAGTTACAGACGTCCCATAAGATAACATGGCAGACAGGTGACATCAGCTCATTAATTCGCACCTTATTGATTTAAATTTTAATTTATGAACGTAAATTTATTAAAATATTGAAAATAAAACATACAGAATTGAAAACCGAAACAACATTAATTAAAAATTTATATCTGTACTAAGCGGAGTCAATATAGTCATAGTCCAGTAACCAATCTTTCGTAAATACACAAATACCATTAGCTGCTTCTAAACAAAACAGCTGTTACAACACCACTTGCGACGTTGCCACTTCGAAGGCCGCGGTCTGGAGTTAAAGGCGGCCGTGCATGGCGTAATCCTGTAATCCAACTACTCGGAGGTCACGAATTGTGGATATTTATAGGCATGATCTGTGGACTTCCTGGCGTGGATTAACGTATCCGCACTAGTGAGTATGACTATCCGCAGTACTATCCTGATAATTAGACCAATTGGTTGTAATTACAAGGCAAAAATGTGGTTCGGATTCCACAATAAACTGTAGGTCCCTAGGTTAACATTGGCCTTGGCTGTTGGGCTATTAATTAACAACAACAGCTGTGTCTAAGAAACATGTCGGCCTTAGTCATGATCAAGACTACAAAATATCGCCATCGTCACTCATCTCCATTCATTCATATTTCAAACTTGGCAATAATAATGGTTACATACCTTACGTCGTCAATCCTAAAATAAGTCTATGGCGACTAGTTTCGAAACATCAAGAGTTGCATCGTGTCCGTCACCGCGGTACTTATGGCCGGCCGCGCACTCATTTTTGTAAATAGTATGTGTCCGTGTTCGTGTGTTTATGTTAAATGTACTGTGTATAATGACGACGACTAGATGTCACAATGTTTTTAAAAGGCAAGAGGCTCGACAATGAAACCTTGATGTTTCGAAACTAGTCGCCATAGACTTATTTTAGGATTGACGACGTAAGGTATGTAACCATTATTATTGTCAATAATCAATCCTGGAGGCAATGATGAATAAATTCAAACTTGGCTTAAAATACCTACTATAATCGTATGGTCGCCATTTCATAAAAAGATATAAACATTTTTTTACCAGCACAGCAGTAGCTGTTCCCTTGAAATAAATACTGAAGCTGGAACTGCTTGAGCTTGAGGTAATTTTCAACAATATTTTAATTCAGCCGACAACAACAAGATTGACGTCACACCATTACAGCCAATAGAATGCTCTCATTTCGTCCGTATCGAAAAACTGGTGCTGAAATAAAAATAATTTTAATGACCACGTTAGTGATTCACGTAACAGCAATTTTAGCAAATTACCCTATAGGGGGAAGTAGCTATTTACCGTAGGTGGCATGGTAAGACGTAGGGCCGGGACCGATTTAATTTTTCATTTTGGTGTCCCCAGAGGCCAAAAACACCATTCGTCCAAAATGTTTTATATATATTTGGGCTACTATATATATATATATATGTGTGTGTGTGTGTGTGTGTGTGTGTCCATAAACATGATAACTTGGGTTGTCCGATTTTGATATAAATTTGGTTTGGAGGTGTAAAGCTGGGTTTTCCTAGGCGCGGGTGGAGAGAGGAATTCGGAGAGTGGAAAAGCGATTAACATGGCTTTCCGCTCCACTTCTAGGAAAACAGTAACATAAATTACCTAAGACAAGAGGAGTCCAAGTCCGCTCTCCGCGTTCCTCCGCGCTCCGCTTCCACGACTAGGAAAACTCAGCTTTTGGCCGGATAAACTTGAATGAGCTCCCGAACCATATGATCGGACCATGGGAAAGGAGTTTTACGGGGAGGGGGGGAGGGGGATTATGAGCTTAAAAAACAAATAATTTACTTTATCAAAGTGTTTTTGTACGGTAATTGGCTACAGTAAAAATAAAAAAAGTTGTAAATTTAAAATCGTCATTTTATTTTTATGGAAAATATTGTAAATTAATTGTTGTCTTTTGCTTGTCTATAGATATAATTTGACTAAACTTTTCAAATTAATTTATTTTATACTAAGCTATCAATATTTTACTAAAAGACACACCTTATTTATTTGCCCTTCTTGTAGCAGCAAACCTATGTACTCGTTAAACTTAATGTCATTTAATAGATTTAAATGTACACATTTATAGTGCAAGTATTATTAAGTAAGCCTCTCTGTATTATTTTATTAGGCAATCAACTTATTTTATAGGTACTTATGCATCTTGCTTGTAAACCTTTTATTTCCGTAGGTTGATTATTGACATGATCTATTGCATGAATGTACTATGTATGATGTTTAATGATCGAATAAATCTATAACTTATTCCTATCATCCAATCAGGCAAATGGAAATTGGCATAGTCTGCCGGTTTGCTGTTGTAGGGGTATTTTACTATATGTGATGTGGAAAGCGAATAGGGACCTCTTGTCGGGAATTTTCGATTTTGAGTTATGTATATATATATTTGAATTCCTTATTAAATTCCGAATTACTTTGTGCAAGTCCCATGCATCTAAGATTTTTATGTTAAAGTTATAGGACTTTGAAGTTGTGTTATGGAAAAGGGTCATTTTGAGAAAAAACTATTTTGAAAATTTCAAATACGCATAAAAACAGTTTTTTCGTATTTAAGAAACGATTTTGGTATCAAAAGAAACTTAAAGTGTCTTCTATGGAGGCAATATCAATTTTTATCTTAACTCATGGTAGGTAGTTTTCATTTAAAAAATTATTTTATCGAAGCAGGTCGTAAAAATCAAAATTCAGAAAAGGGACCTCTTGTCGGCCCCATATTAAGATAAGAAAAAGGTACCTCTTGTCAGGACAGCAAAATTTGTGAGATATTTTATCCTCCGTAAACTGAATATTTGTTGTAGTTCTTTAAATTTGCACTAGAATGCAGGAGAATTCATTTTTTAAGTCTGTTAATAAATTGAATAGGAATGGGAGCTCTTGTCGTTTTGGCGTAATAACATTGAGCGACAGAAGTCCCTTTTCTCAGACCGTGCAGAGGCTAACAAAATGATTTATTTCGACCTTTTACATCTTCAATTCGATATTTTAACCAATACTGTCCTGTTCTATGTTAAATGAATGAGGTATAAAATGGAGAAATAATACCCCCGCTGCAGCAAACCTCATGTCTAAGCGAATTTCCACTTGCCTGAATTGATTTTAAATAAATCTATTTTTCATCACTCCGTAACGAAAGTAACTATTTTCGATAACAGCTGACATCAATGAAAGTAGTCGTTTCCCAAGCTCTAATTTAGGGCGAGGGAAAATCGATCAGCTGATTTTCCCTCGCTCTAAATTTACTTTCCCTCGCTCTCAATTATTTCTCCATTTATTCACTACGTGTGCTAGTGTTTTGTTACGGTTTAATTTAATGATTTGAATCAGCTGTATGAATTGTTAAAAGTTGTTTCAGCGAATTTCCCATATAGGGAATAAGCTATTACCGTAGTACTCATGGTAAGACCTGGACCCGGGACCGATTTATTTTTTCGTTTTGAGGTCCCTAGAGGCCAAAAACACCATCCGTTCAAATTCATATATATATATATATATATATTTATATATATATATATGTGTCCGTCAGCACGATAACTCGAGCAAAAATGATCCGATTTTGATGAAATTTGGTACAAACGTGTAAGCCTACATTAATTCGAACGAGTTCGCGAACCAGCATGATCGGACTATGGGAACGGGGGTTTATGGGGGGTTTTATGGGGTAAAAATAGGTTTGTCCCATTTTTGACCCTAAAAACACAAAATTTTACAATTTATTTCCAAACCATTTGGTAGAGCTTAAAAAAACAAATAATTTAATATATTGAAGCGTTATTGTGAGCCTAATGGTTACAGAGAAAATTCCAAAAAGTTGTAAATTTAAAATCCCTATGTTATTCTTATGGAGAATAAGTCAACTGTTGTAGTTTACTTGTTTATGAACATATTTTGATCGAATTTGGAAAATACATTCGTTTCTTACTAAACTACTAACATAAAAAACCACCTTTTTACCCTCCCTGTTGCAGCAAACCTAAGTACTCGTTAAACTAGTTCTATTTAAATAGGGAATTAATATGATATTTTAAGGAGGCATTTTAATGTGAAATCCTATCAGGCTAATGGAAATTCGCTTAGTCTGCAGGTTTGCTGCGGCGGGGGTATTATTCTTTTATTTTCATGTTTAAACAAAATTTATTAAGAGATATACGTAGGTTTCCTTTTAGAAGATTTTATTTTATTTTGATGTTCAATCAAATTAATTGAGGAATAAAATAGTTGTAATAATACTGAGGTCTGCTAATCTGTGTTTGTGTATTTTTGTGTCGTGATGAAAAGTATCGTTCATAACTCGTACCGAAAGTTTTTATCCGACACTTGCTCCAATATTCCCGTCCTCGGCTTCGCCTCGCACGTGAAATTGGGGTTCCCTGTGTTCGGCTTCGCCTCACACAAAAACTTGAGCGCGCGACGGAAAATGCCACTTTCGGTCCTAGTAATGAAATATACTATTTATAACATTAGGTTTAACGAGTACCTAGGTTTGCTCCTACAAGGAAACTAAAAAAGTGTGTTTTTAAGTAAAATAATTATAGCTTAGTATAAAATCAATAAATTTGCCAAGTTTGATTAAAATCATTGGGAGAAAGTAAATGATCTCAGAAATCATTTTTCCCATTACCTTGTCAACAACCTTTTCTTGGAGTATTCTAGCTATGGGGACAATCTCAAACATTGCATTAACTTTTGTACTGTAATTTTTACAGCATTGCAGGTTGTACAATTTTGTTTATATTTAAAAGGACCATAACATACAAAAACATTTATTTTAATCAAAATCTTGCAAAACCCTTTTCATCACTCCTCACCGAAAGTAACTATTTTCGATAACAGCTGACATCAATGAAAGTAGCCGTTTCCCAAGCTCTAATTTAGGGCGAGGGAAAATCGATCAGATGATTTTCCCTCGCTCTCAACTAGTTTTCCATTTATTCACTACGCGCGCTAGTGTTTTGTTAAGGTTTAACATGGTTTAACTTAATGATTTAAATCAGCTGTATGTATTGTTCAAAATCGTTTTATTCTTTTATTTTGATGTTTGAAGTATTGAGAAATGTACGAAGGTTTCCTTTAGAATATTTTATTTTATTTTTATGTTTTAAAAATTAAACAAAAATAAACATAGGTTTACTTTTAGAAGATTTTATTTTATTTTTATGTTTAAACAAATTGTTTGATAGATAATTATTGTAATATAACTGAGGTCTGCTATTCTGTGTTTGTGTATTTTTGTGTCGCGATGAAAAGTATCGTTCATAACTCGTACCGAAAGTTATTATCCGGCACTTGCTCCATTATTCCCGTCCTCGGCTTCGCCTCGTACGTGAAAATAGCTCTCACGTACTCGGCTTCGCCTCGCACGTGAAATTGGTTCCCTGTGTTCGGCTTCGCCTCACACAAAAACTTGAGCGAGCGCCGGAAAATGCGACTTTCGGTCCTAGTAATGAAATATACTATTTTGTAAAAATTTTACTTATAACTTACTTATAATTTTACTTATAAAATTTTATAGATTTTAATGGAAACTGTTTTAAAAATCAAAACTTTAAAAGCCTATATGCCTGTACTAACCTGGAAATATGACAAACAGACATAACTTTGAAAACCACTTTGTTAGGTTCAGGGAACCCAAAACCGATAACTTTATAAAAACTCAAACTCAGAAGTTTTGACGAAAATAACACTTTTACCTTCATATAGCCTTCATGTAGGGGGAGAAGTAAATGTGTAGTTGACTTCAGCATCCCACTAATATCTAATGGGACATACAGATGGAGAAAATAGAGACTGAAAGCTGCTTGGTTGCAAGTAATTGCCAGTTGCACTAACTGCATTATTGAGCCTACCTTGATAGGTACTCCAATAATTACAAATACTTACAGCCAACAAGAAATTAATGTGAAACAGCACAGTTAAAGAAAATCCCTCATCTGATTGCAATACTACTCACATTTTCATAGATCAAAGACTTTATTTCAGCATATATTTGATTGAATCCTTTAGACGTAGCCCAAATTGTATTGTGTAAGCATTGATTCCCCATGAGCTGAAGAGTTTGAAATGGAGGATCTTGGGACATGAAACGATTTATTTAGTCAGTGAGCAGAGACAGATTTCCATAATTTTTAGCCCCTAGTACTACTCTGACACTGACAGCCCCCCTTTCAATTCACAATGTAGGTTTTGACCATGGACATTAGAGGAAAGGTGGAAAGGGCATTACCACTTCTTCAAAGTTCTGCCGTTCTCGGTAAACCATCAGGCCCACAATTTGGCCAATGTGGGGAGCGCAGTTGTCATCGTCAGGACGTGCCCGTCCTTAGGCAAATGCCTAGCATGCATAGTGGAAAACACACCCGTGAGGGATGTCCTGCAGCATGGTTATATGTATTTTTGCTCCTCTGTGCAGCTGTTTTAATCATAAATAAGGCAGGATACTATTTACTATAACACCATAACTAAATCCATTTACCAAAGTGGGATATATTTCAATAACCGGTAAAACCTTATCACAATTCATTGTGTGCTGTCTTGAAGGTATGTTTTTTATTTTCTTCATTTTGCATTTAACAGTAGCTTCTCAACTTTCTATAAGGACCATTGGATTACAGTTAGTCTTCACACTGTCTCTACCAAGCACTGAAAACATAATAATGTATGGTAGCTAACAATTAAGGCAATTTGACAGTACAGTATTACCATTGAATATATGGGATGGATACTGAAATAGACATATCGCATCTATATGGACCATCTGGTACCAAATTTCTTTTGAAAATGAACATAGTCGTTTGCCACAGTGGTGTAGTGGGGTGTTCCCACTCTGTTTTTTTCAAAGAACTGTTTTAACCCTCCATTGGTCGCACCTAAGCCATTAGATACCACAACATGAAAAATTCCTGTCATTTTCGTGTTCTCGCCCCAAAACAGGTCTTAGCCAGTGTGCTGTTTCATCCCCTCCCCCCACACACCTAGTACTTTATCGCTGTTAGTGTTGTCCCATGCACACATGCCTTATTGTTTAGCTCCGTTGTATCTGATAGATACAGTGGGACCGGTCTCTGTTATATAATTCAAAATTAAATAATTCCTTTAAATATAGAAATAAATAATACTGTTTTAACCCAGCAAAGAAAACGTTGAGTTCAAATTTACATGCAGCAGTGGTACTGGTCGCAATTCAATTTTACACGGGTATGGTCTCTAATGGATACAAGAATATATGTAGGTATGGTCTGACAACTTTTTTTTACTTATTGAGAAATGCTTACACGATATGAAATCTATATAGGTCAAGAGTTGTTATAGAAAGTAAAATAAAAATTAGGGGGGAAATTTATGTGTTAAGTACTCAAAATAGTATATTACGTTACTAGTCCTGAAAATAGGTGTTTACCAGACGAGTGTGGTCGTTCCAGTGCGAGACAAAGTCAAGTGCGGGATTACCAGACAAGTCTAGTAAACACATTTTGAACGAGTGACGTACGATATTTTACACCATCACTACTCTAAGTTAACTTAACAATGAACAAGCTGCACAAATCCTTGACAGTACGCAGTTGCCAATGAATATTGGATACTGAAATAGACATCGGATCTATAAGAACAATTTGATACAAAATTTCTGTCGAAAATTCCCACCGACTAAAACTAACAATCACTACTCATAACCTTATAGAAGTTATGTTTTTTTTATAACCTCTCATTGCCAATTATAATCAGCTACGAGGAAAAAATGTGGTTCGGATTCCACAATAAACTGTAGGTCCCTTAGTTGCCATTAGCTGTATGGGCTATTAATTAACAGCTGTGCCTAAGGAACATGTCGGCTCCGGCATGTAGTGTTCAGATTATGTCCCAGTCGAATATGGTAGCAGATTCCCTCTAACTCTTAAAAATGAATTAAAAAAGCATGGGAAAATTGCAGCTTTTAGAACCAGCAATAAATTGGAAAACATAGTTAATCCAAAGGAAAAACAAAGCATTAATAACAAATCTGGAATTTATAAAGTAACATGCAATGATTGCAGCAAAATGTATATAGGTCAAACTGGGCGATCTTTTGAAAAAAGATTTAAGGAACATATCCCCCGAACCAGGGAAACACAAATATCCAGTTTTGCCGAGCATCTTGTTAATGAAAATCACAGTTATTCAAATGTCAGTACAAATCTAACAGCTTTACATATCTGTAGGAAAGGACGAACTATGACAACTTTGGAAAATTATGAAATATATAAAGCAACAAAAATTCGCCCTAATGATTTATTAAATGATAAAAGCTTGTTCCAGTCTAATGTATTATTTGAAACATTAATAGGATTAGACAGAGACAGAAAGGAATGATAAAGGAAGCCGGGGGTACAAAGTACAACTACTAGGACAAGATAACCTCCAGTTGAGACTCGACATTGAAAATGCATGCATTGCTTCACTTTTGTCTCTCGTTTTTAATTAGTAGGCCTACTGTAAATAGTTTTTTCGTGTTTAAATGTTTTGTAACTGTGTTTTTAAAACTGTGACGTGACATCATGAGTCAAAAAACTTCAAGTTTGTATATGGATCTGATTATGGTATAACAAATACCGAAACGCGTAATCCTGTTGGATATTTAAGGACCACTAAAGGCAGTCTGCAGGTATTGTAACCTTCTTATTTTGATTTGCATGAAGTGGCCTAGAAAAACAACTAGAACATGATATAATCAGCTGGTTGGTGTCCGGTAAAAGCTCATTACAGAACAGTAGTACGTAATGAAATCCCATTTGATTAAGCTGGCGGCAAACAGATATTTTCTGGACTAAATCCTTGTGTGGGAAGCTCGTTAAAACATTGTAGTGTGGTGTAAAAATTTGTAAGGAAAAATGTATCTGAGCGATTTAGTGCGATTGGCGTAAAAAATAGGTGCGACCAACAGAGGGTTAAAATAAGTTGTATTTGTATTTATAAAAGTCAGCAGTATGGCAGCAGCAAACTCTGTAGTGAAGGCTCAATATTTAATCCAAGTCCATTTTATTCTAAAACTAGAAAACATTAACATGGTAATACAATGTAAATTTCCATCCATAGTTAAAAATATTATTTAAATTATCTTTATCAGGTCTTAAGGATACAGAATGGAACTGAACATACATTGGATAGTGCACATTTTCAAATTCGTCAGCGTCAGGTATCACCTCTGGCTTGGGAGTAACGTATTTAGTTTGTCTCCATTCATCAGGTGTTTTGGCCTGCAAGCATTCACAATATGTTATGTCAAATATGTTAAAAACTGCGCCATTTTATAAGCTTTCAAACCATATGCTACACTATTGAGGTTTAAATATTTGTTTGTTTGTTTTAGTGGTTTGAATGCCAGAAAACAGGGAACTTTTTTACTGTTTTAATGTTCAAGCTGAAACAAAAATACAACTTTTGCTTAATACATGCCGACTTTATATGTTTTAAATGTTAAAGACATCATGCTTTGTAGTCTTCAAACCACTAAAGCGTACATAAGCAGACATAAAGCTCAATGGTTGGAAAATTAATGGCATATGGTTGGAAAGCTTATAAAATGGCACAGTTTTCAACATATTCCGACACTTTCTTGTATACAGGGTGTGAACAAATGCAATTGACCTATGTTTTTTACATTTTTAGCGAATTTCCCTATAGGGAAGTAGCTACAACCGTAGGTGGCACGGTAAGACTTAGGCCCGGGACCGATTTACTTGTTCATTTTGATGTCCCCAGAGGTCAAAAACAACATTTATTTGTTCAAATTTTTATAAATGTATATATACGTCCGTGAACACGATAACTTGAATAATTTTTGTCCGATTTTGATTAAATTTGGTTTAAAGGTGTATGGCAGGATAAACTTGAATGAGTTCGCAAACCAGCATGATCGGACCATGGGAACGGGGTTGTACAGGGGGTTTTATGGGGTAAAAAATGGTTTTTCTCATTTTTGACCCATAAAACACAAAATTTCCCAATTTCTTTCTAGACCTTTTTAAAGAGCTTAAAAAAACAAATAATTTAGTATATCATAGTGTTTTTGTATGGTTATTGGTAATGGAGAAAATTAAAAAAATTGTAAATTTAAAATTCCCATGTCATTCTTATGGAGAATATTGTAAAATGTTGTAGTTTGCTTGTTTATGGATATATTTTTATATAATTTGGCAAATTGATTTATTGTATACTAAGCTATTAATATTTTACTAAAAAACCCACTTAAACAGTTTCCTTGTAGCAGCAAACCTATGTACTCGTTAAACCTAATGTTATTTAAATAGATTTAATTGAAAATCAATTCCTACAAATGGAAATTCCATAGCTATAATACAAGACCCCATCAATTGGTTGAACATCATAAATAAGAGCTTTTTAAAAAAAAATCACCTATAAAGGAAACAAATATTTTGATCTTTTGCCACAAAATATCAAAATACCCCCGCCGCAGCAAACCTGCAGACTAAGCGAATTTCCGTATGTCTGATTGGATTTACACTAAAATGTCTACTTAAAAATTTAACATTTATTTCCTATTTAAATAGAATTATTTTAACAGGTACTTAGGTTTGCTGCATCAGGGGTTCAAGACCCGTCCGGGCAGAAAAATTTTGTTCTAGTTTTTTTATCAAAATTTGTTTTTATGAACTATTTAATCAATTTACTCGATTAATAATTATGATTTTCATACTAAATCTTTATTATTTAAAATATTTATATCCTTTTTTTTAAATAATATTTTGTAATAACATTTATAAAATATTAATACAAAATATTTTATTAAAATATTTTTAAGATACATTGGGGGTGGAATAGGATGCATTTTAAAAATATAGGTACCTTAATGATTAAAAAAATATTTTTAAAACATCCTGTGCTGTCTGGGCTGAAGTTCAAAGCATTACAATTTTACTTTTTCTCTCTCAATCCTTGAACCACATTGGTCCATTACCCGTGTTGTTAAGTAAAACTATGCAGTTGTAAACAATGCTGTTGTGTAAGTAAACAATGCTGTTATGTGAAACCTTTCCCTAAGAACTGAACTGAAACAGCTACTTAGGTAAAATTTTTAACAGATGTTGTTTCACACTTCTTAATGTATTTTATACACAACATTGCAATGTATGGGTACCGGTAAGTACTTACCACAATTGTAATACCATCAATTTTGTTTTTGAGGACTTCGTCTTGAATAAGCGCATTAATGCATAAGTGCCTCTGTGAACAAAAAGAATAGAATTTATTTGGAATTAGAAGCAAGTACCGTAGTATTGTATCATTGATTAATTTTTCTGCTCATATTTAGACATTATAAGTTTTATCACAAGATCCTCGATTATACATATATTTTTCCTACCACTCCATGGAAATGACCACATTGCTACACCTGTAAAAAGTACACAAAATAGCTCTTTTCCACTCAAGAGTGGGAATAAATCATTCCTCCTCGCTTATCAGCTGATTTCACAGCTGGCGTTTGTACACCAACCACAGCCGTGGATCCGATACGTTAACAAACCGTAAGCAAATAACATAACCTGAAAAAGCGAATGCAAACACAAAAATCTATATGACATTTTATATATAACTAAAAAGTTTATCTGTGTGTAATGATAAGTTAATTGTGGTGGTAGAAAAAATCTTCTTTGTACTACGAGCACAAACAGTCATTGCCGCTTTCATGACCACACTCAGCTAAAGCTTCGTCCGGTACAGTTCTCGAGCGGCAATGGCATGCTTTGCGCTCTTAATACACAAATAGCTAGTTGGTTGATAGTTGATAATATATATTTGTGTATTAAGGACGCAAAGTCAAAGTAGTTTTAGCGAATTTCCCTATAGGGAAGTATAGCTATTACCGTTTGTAGCGGTTTTCATAGTCAAGCGCCACCGGCTGGCGTTGTCCATCATGCTCTTATGGTGGCTAGAAGGGCCCAATATCCGTGGCCCTCCAATGTGTTTTATTGTATACATTATTGTATTGTATTTCAAAAAAAATTTTGACCCGTTGAAAGTTAAAGATTAATTTATATCACAGTTTATATAATAATATCAACCAAATAACCTATAAAGTATTTTAAAATATACTTCACTGTTTACTGTTTATTGTTTTGGGTGGGACCGGCCCACTTGGCCCTTATGGAAGGGCTGCCACTGTAGGAAAGATGGGCAACTGTTCCTAAAGAAACTGGAACTATTCCCAAAGTGTGGTCAATGCATTGTATGAATGAATGAATGAATGAATGAATGAATGAATGAATGAAATGAAAACAGTGCTTTATTAAACAAAAAAATTATTCTTACAAACCTAGGCTCCTTGCAGGAAGCCACAATGTCTTACAGAACCGTCTACGTGGTTGACATACATCTTATTTTACAGTACATTTTTAATTTAAAACTATGAATTCAATTCTGGACTAAAATCAGAAGTAAAAAGTGTGAAATCTAAATGTGTAATTTAAGCAAATGAAACAAAAAAATTTAAATAGCTGGCTCACAACGCAATAGATGTGTTAGATGTATAAATATTTTAAAACAAATACCCCCACTCTCAAAGAAAAATCTAGTCTGAAAGTTAGTGAATTTCTCCTTGAATATAATTCTGGACCCAAGTATGACAATTTCAAATAATTTGTATATGTTGAATTTGATTATCAATCCCCACCTAAAATGCCAAGCTTATTTTAAATACCCACCCAACGCGCGCCAATCCCTCCCATTCATAAAACTCAAAAACTCTTCCCACTCCAATTCGTGGTGAGAAAAATATTTCTTTCTGATATGAGACAACACGGGGCATCTACCTACAAAATTGAAAATGTTTTCGTCCTGGTCTTCAAAATTACAAAGTGAGCAATGGAAATTTTGTTCTAAAATCCAAGGTTTATAATTTAGAGATGTACTGCCTCTCAGCTCTTGCCTTGAAAATCCAATTAATGCTGTAAATTCATACCAATATTATCTGAAAGATAAGACCAATGGCAGAGATTTAGATTTACAATAATAAAAGTTGAAGTCATAGTAATGATAAAACTGCATAAGGTTTCAATGAGTGTTAATTTTGATTTTGTTTAAGGTAATATAAGACAATTTAGCTGTCCGCTTGTCCTGTTCGTCACAATGGAATGATGTGATTTAAATCGTCTCAATACATTAGCTGATTAAGCGGGAATAATGAGGTACTTGATTTCAGACATATTATTGATTACAATATCAATACTTTACCTGATATGTATTAGAACCGGTGAAAGCAGTTGACACAACAATAATGCAGAAAAACTTCTCTGAACTCTCAGGTTCTCCATACATGACAGATTGATTGATGACATCAAGGTACATCGGCCGAAATTGCTGTAAAATTTTCTTTCTAATTGAGGCCTCAATTGGTCCCATATCTTCATTGGAGTTTGCAATAATCATAGGTTCTTCACCTTTAACAAAAAATATTTTGGCTGATAATATGTTTAACAATTATTTTTTCCTACAGTCACCCGACAAAGTTGGCTTCCCTGTACTGTTTATAGTACAGAAAGCTGCTAATTGCTGCATATTTATACTTTGCCGTACGGTTTATACTTTGCCGCACGGTTTATACTTTGCCGCACATCAGGATTCCAACCAAACAACACAAAACAGCGTGGTTTTATTATGCACGTAATCCGTGTACGCTTGGAAATAGGTTGGCAACACTTAAAGATAATAATACTATGAACAGCTGATTGACTATTATAACTACGATTTAACCTGTCATTTCGTGTTTATAGTTTTGGTATTTCTGAACTTTCTGGACTTTTCTTTTAAACGTTTTTAAAACATTCCTACGGTCTTAATAAACAAGAAAATACCTTTAAAGCCTTTTTTTTAGGCGCGGAAACCACTTCAAATTACAAAAACATACGGAACTATATTCTCAAAAGACGGAGCACATTTTTTGCCGAGGAAAAATAGCGGAGTGATACGGATCACGGGTACTACTTTCTCCAGGGCACCATTTGTGTAATTGTGTTGCTAGCTGAACCTAAAAACGTGTTGTATAGTGTTTGAAAGACTAATTATTTATGTTTTATAGTGACTGTAGGAAAAATATAATGTGTAACACGAGTGAAAAAGGCCTTTGCTGCACTCGAGATCATTCCGCACTCGCCTGCGGCTCGTGCGTAAACATTGCTCTCGTGTGCAGCAAAGTGCCACTTTCACCACTAGTTACACAAATAACTATTTCCTACAGTCACCCGACAAAGTTGACTTCCTTGTACTGTTTATAGTACAGAAAGCTGCTAATTGCTGCATATTTATACTTTGCCGTCCGGTTTATACTTTGCCGTACGGTTTATACTTTGCCGCACATCAGGATTCCAATGAAACAACACAAAACAGCGTGGTTCTATTATGCACGTAATCCTTGTACGCTTGGAAATAGGTTGGCAACACTTAAAGATAATAATACTATGAGCAGCTGATTGACTAAAATATAACTACGATTTAACCTGTCATTTCGTGTTTATAGTTTAGGTATTTCTGAACTTTCTGGACTTTTCATTTAAACGTTTTTAAACCATTCCTACGATCTTAATAAACAAGAAAATACCTATAACGCATTTTTTTTAGGCGCGGAAACCACTTCAAATTACAAAAACATACGGAACTATATTCTCAAAACGCGGAGCACATTTCTTGCCGAGGAAAAATAGCGGAGTGATACAGACCGCGGGTACTACTTTCTCTAGGGCACCTATTTGTGTTTCCAGTTGAACCTAAAAACGTGTTGTATAGTGTTTGAAAGACTAATTATTTATATGCTTTATAGTGACTGTAGGAAAAATATAATGTGTAACACGAGTGAAAAAGGCCTTTGCTGCACTCGAGATCATTCCGCACTTGCCTGCGGCTCGTGCGTAAACATTGCTCTCGTGTGCAGCAAAGTGCCACTTTCACCACTAGTTACACAAATAGCTATTGTTTATTTGTATTTTGTATGATAAAAACCACCACAGGGTATCATGCCTTTCAAAGGAAAGGGATGACAACTAACTAGATAAATCTTAGATAACCAGATTACCTATGTAACACATTTACATATAGAGTTATTAGGTACTTTTTTAATAATTATAGTAGTATGAAGATACTCAGCTCAAAATACATTCCAAAGTATGTTTCACTCTGTCATTTTAATTGATTACTTTACTTGCCTTATCTAAGCCATGCAAGGGGGCTTAGAATTATATAAAACGAGTTCTTTCAAGCTACCACAAAAAGCTTTTATTTCACTGTGGTATGGTATGGATGGTTGTAGCATTTCACATAACAATCTAAGTACCAAGGGATGGAGCCATTCTACCATTTTATATACCTATATTAATTAGTTTGGTGTGTACAAACAATATAAAGATATCCTAATAGGTGTATAATTTAAAAGAAATTTGGATTTTGTCATGGAAAATGATAACATAATAAATAGCTAGCTATCAATATGTAATGAAACAAAATGTATAATGTATAATGTACAATGAAGCACATTTGATCATACTCAAGTTATTCAATGCTTATGACAGAATATATTAAACTAATAAAGAAAAAACTATATTATCATATAGCATTTTTACAATTTGTCATCTTAAGTTATTATTTATTGTTTGGGGTTGACCTACGAAAACCTGCCTTTTCTTGAAATCTGAGGTCAGAGACTGAAAGTATATTTTGGTTTTGGTTTGTAGTTTTAGCGCTCTTCCTTAGTAGAGTAGACACATAATTATTGAGAAAAACATAACATGGCCAAAGATTTGTCTTCTTCACTTGGCATCACTGCACTGGCTGTGAGGACTTAAGTTGATATCTGACTCTGTTGTGGACACAAAGCAAGTGACAATCTGTACTGGAAACATATCTGTGAACCGTTGTCAGATTTGTTTGTTACCGCAGTCTGGAGGAGGCTATGCATACATAGTTTATTGCCGGGTGGACAAGGCTCAAGGATAAAATGTTGAGCCAAATTAGTCTATTACAAACAACTTGCTTTTCTTTGTTCCAGACTTATTCAATTTAAAGTGAGCATAACTATACTAGTTAATATGGATAATCTATTCTATCTATACAGTATAACCATAGACTAGACAACACAAGTAGACTTCCCATCCTATTGTACATTTTGAAGCTCGTTTTTTGTGTCTAGTTCATGTCCGTTGACACTGATGGCTATTGTCGACGAAATTTTGTTTCTATTATTTTAGAGATGATTTCACGATTGGTGCTTTACTGTTTGGTTATATAACTAGAGGATGAGTTTTTGTTTATGATTATATCGTTTTATTTGGTTAAACAGGGTTTTAAATTACTGAAATAACAAGAAACAAATTGTAAACAAAACATGACCTCTACAGTGCACCGGGCAGAACTAACGATAAAATTGGCTTCAGCTGTTTTATAAAGATGGGAAATCTACAAAGGGTGTATGTTTTATCTGTGGATTAACTTATGGATAAATTGCATCAATACATTTTGTCTTCATGATTACTTTGGTCTTCATAAAAATGACCAACCTACACGTAACATGCTTCAAAACCCATATCTCTCATTGTCATAATCCACAATGATGAACAAATGATGGATTTTATATTGAATACCTTTATGGTAGTTCTCCGTGACGCATGAGGAACAAATCTACAATCACCTCCCACCTCAGCTTTTAAAATAATTGTTACAGAGTTTAATTAATAATTATGAGTTTTTCGATAATAATGTAGAAAAAAATATAGATGGTTTTAAAAATAGGAAACTTTATAAAATGAAGAAATATTGCTATAAAAATAATTATAAATTAAAAGCTTTAATATTGCATGTTGAAGCAACATCTGTTTGCCAAATCAGTAAAGAAATTAATGTTACCGGGTAATACAAGTTTATGATACAACAATAAAAGCCTTCTATAGGTCAGCCGGTTAGAAAACAACCTGCGCACAATTTTTAGCGCATGTAAGGGAGGTAACGGCGTGGGAGGGTATGTTCCCCTCTCCGCCAATGGCCGTTTTCACACTGCATGACACGACACTGGCACGACACCGACACGGCGCCGCCCTGGTGTCGTGGGAGTTGGAATCCTGTGTTACCAAATGGAACTGCTTACACAATGATATAATAACATTTCATGATGCTCAAATTATGATGCGATTTAGGCTATACAATATTTTTTGCTGGAGCTATTTTTCTCAAGTTATGAAGAACGTAATTGTTTACATTTTGATCAGCTGTATAGTTTATTTTGATTAGCTGTGTTCGGGAAGGTTGGGGGTAGGGTGGCAGCGGAGTGGGTGAAGAGCCATAGTCTGCCTCACTCCCACAGCTCGGTATCTCTCTCTTGCACCAATGCTACGAGGAGGACGCTTTCTAACCGGCCGACCTATAGGTTTTAAATCTATTAAATCCTGGTAATAGTTTTTTAAAAACAATTTTCAGAAATTTTTCATGAAAGAAATGAATTTTCCTTTGTATATTCCTCTTATGAAAAAATCTCCCAGACAAGTCTATTAAAAAACCTACTGTATCAGCAAGTCTTTTATGGTTTTTTAAACAAAGTTTCAGTCCTTTCTGTAACGTTCTTGGAGAACTAATCAAATTAATTCCTCAAAATATTAAATTTGGTAAAGCCCATTCACATCTCTATATTACTATTCTGAAATAATGATATCAAAACCCTTGGTGACACATAAAGATAAGTATATGCTTTTATAAAATGTTAAGTTATATCATTACAGTATCTATTACAAACTTTCGAGGCACAAAGGATTTCATTACCGTTTTGTCAAGGTGCGTGATTAAGTCTAATCATCATTGAATGTATTCATGTCATTGTGATGGTGGCTGAATATTATTCAAGCAAAGCCTACCCTTTTCCTGGAACATTAATTGTGTCTTAGTGTTGAAGTTGTCATGTGAAACTTAGTTTTGATATAATAAAGGAATTTACAATTTATCAGAAGCATATCTCGTACTGTATATGAGAAGGTAAACAAAGTAACTAAACATTTAGATATAAAAAGTGTCAAATTTATTTACAAATTGATGGAAACTTGATGTTATGCAGCAATTCCATCTCCCTGACACGCAGGTGGAGGGGTGATCCCTCTCTCCTCATCCCACTGCTGCGGACTTCGAGCCTGCATCACAACACATAAACTGTTATTGTTGGAAAAAGTTGTTATTTTGTTCCTTTTTCATGGATGTATATTGGGTAATGCCTTTAAGGTTTTGCCTAATACTTTTCATACTTTTGCTTTGCTTTGAAATGGTAACCACACGGATGTAGATATTTAAAGTTAATAACTAATGTGGGAAGAAATAAAAACTTATTAAAATTATGTTTTATTTTAATTTTTTTTCATCTTTTTTATTTTACAACAATGCTACAAAACCGCATATGCCAATTACATTGTAGCAT